AGTAATATAGTAAAGTACCACATAATCCATCTTATATAGCCCCATTCCCAATAAAATATGTCTTTATATAGTACATTAAGTACACTATATACATATCTATATTTTACATAGAACATTAAATAAAAATGTTCTCAACGAAGTGCCAATAATTATGTTTTCCATAGCACATTGTTAAAGTACGTCTCCAAATTCATTTAAGTAGCATATTAGACATAAAAAATTCAATAAGGAAAAGAACAAAGAGATTAGGATTCTATGTAGAAAGCTTATTCAGACTCTGATGTATTGCAAAGGAAAAAATCAAACTGTAAAAAAAAGCAAAATAGGTCAGAATTTTTGTTGGAAATAACCATTTCACATTGGAATAAAACTAAAAAATTAAAGATTTCTGCAAAATTTTGACTATCTGACTTAAGGAGAGGAAAACCTGCATGTCTTTACAAATAATCAATGTGTTTATTTGAAGAAAATTTGTACAATAAATATTTCAGTATGCTAAGAAATTCATCACATCTATTTAGAATATATGAAACCTATTCACTCCTGTCAAGAATCACCTCTTTAAAATAGTAGTTTTTGAAATAACCAAAAACTTAGGTCCATTGTGCAATCATGCATGAAACGTTCAAAAAACTACACATATAAACAGCATTTTTTAAGAAAGAAAATACAATTAAATACATAATATTAAATCTAAAACACGTACATTTTCATATTTTAATATCAAATCAGGATGCATCATATAATCAATAGTAAAATATAGATTACCAACATTTTTTCTTTCTTTGTCAAATGTAGAATAATGACACATCTTAACAATCATTTTTGAAGAAAGTAACTGTACCCATTCATATTATCACTGTTAACCTAGAATGAAGCTTGAGTCAAAAACAAAACAAAACAAAGAACATTCCTCTGGCCATTTTGAGATGTTCCTACCTGTTCACAGTGAGCTTTCTGTAAAGTAATTGTGAATTTATCTTTTCCAGTTCCTTTCACAAGGATGTACTGGCACATTCCAATAAAAGAATAATGTCGACCATCAAACGTTGTAAAATGAGAATCACCCACAACGGAGCATTGAACTACCAAAAAAATAATCATAAAAATGAGAAAAGAGAAAAAGAAGGAGAGAGAGAAGGAGAAGGTGGAGAAAGAAATTATGTTTGTTCTTAAAAAACAGAAAGTTGACTTAGGGTAAATAATCATGCATCAGAAAGAATAGCTAAAGTGTCTAAAATGAAAAAAAATAAAGTGTCTAAACTGTACTAGTTTGACAAACTCACTAGATTATGTTATTAAATTTAACTTAAAATTTATTAAATGATAGCTCTTCCATGTAATTTTTAGGTTTTGTAATATTTATACTACTTCAATAAATTTTTACCAGTTTCCTGCTCAAAGCTATCCTTTATTAAATTTTCCATTTATCCTCCAAATATTTGGATTTATTGATCATTACATCTCTTGTTATATATGAGATGACCTCATAAAAATCATTGCTATCTTCCTTCAACTTAAAGAAAATTGAGATTTTTTTCTTTAGAAACATTTTAAAAGATTTACCTGGACAGTCATGCTCAGTGCAGTTCCAAACTCCACCAACACATACACTAAATGAAATTATAAGACTATTAATTACTGGTATAGAGAAACTATTAATATTTGCATCAATGTACTGATTGATGTACCAAAACATACCATGTTTATAGGTTCAGAATAATCTCACCTATAATTGAAAAATACATTGACAGAAGTTCAATTAACTGATAAATTTGGACTGGCCAGTACCTAAATTATGATTTACTGTGTATCATACTTACATCACTAAAGATGATACAAAGGGAACACAGAATGACCTGGAACAAAAGACCTATGCAGACAGAGAACTTCTGTTTTATGTCCTTTTCTCATTGCTTAAACTAAAAGAAGTTGCATACGAAAAGTATTTACCTATATTATTAGAGAAATAATCATAAACAGTCAATATATTGTCTCATCTATTAAAAATTGAAAAAGTCTCTTTTGAGGATCATCAGACATTAAAAAGAGAAAGGATGTCCTCTTCTGTAAGATAAATTCTGCCTTCTGCCAGCAAAAAGAGTTTGAGGAGAGAAGGATGGAAGCAGAATCTCTGACAGGCAGGAGCTTAACCGAGTATATAAGAACATGGTTGGTTATCCACCTGCATGTCACTTACATTACACTAACAGCAAAGGGGAAAGGGCCTGATGACATTTAGACTTGTTTCTTTATAAGACTTCCCTGGTGGGATTCAGTGCTTTCCTAGAATAGTCTTAATTAGCTAATGGAATAAGAAATTCTAAATGTCTCTAATCATGGCCAAGTACTGGCAATATGGAGAGACACTTTTTCAAGTACCCAACAGAGAAGGCCAGGAGCACCATTAAGTTCTAATAGTAAAAGTACATGCAAAGTACTGGTTACAGATAAGAAGAAAATGGAACAGACAGACGCATTACATGGGTATATGATTTGATGGAATTATTATCAAGGGAAGTGAGAAGAATTAAATCATAAAAGAAATGATAGATTTTCTATATTTTTTGCTCTTTTTTCTGAACTTGCTTTCATCTTTAAAATATGAAAATATACATGGCCCCCTACCCCACTCCCGTAGAGATTTTAAATAGGATGCAAACCGTGTCTTGGAATTTTTGGAAGAAAATCAGTAATAAGTATAATCCTTTAAACATATATCATGGTAAAGATATCAACTAGCCAGGTGCACAGAAATAAATGGCTGTACATTAATCACATACCATTCAGTACATTCTTGTTCAATTTTTGAACCAACTGAATAAGCTAATCCATGAAAACTACATGGGCAGTTTTCCAAGGAGATGCAAGTCCCATTGTCCATTATGAGTCCTATTTAAGAAAAATATGTATCAAAATCTCAAAAGAAATGACAAAAAAATGTGTTCTTTGAATGTAATAATTCAACCAGCTTTTATTGAAAACCTACTTACACCAGGTGCTGAATATATATATATATATATATATATATATATATAATTTTTCTTTTTCTTTTTTACTTTTAAAGAGGTTACTGACAACCTCGTTCTAACTCAATCAGTAGCTATGTTATGAGGGTCTATTTCGGTGATTTTCAACTTTTTTATTCCATGACTTGCCATCAAAAACTCAGGTTTCACTACACAGGATAAAGGCAACAAGACAGTATTTCCTTGCTTTCGAGGGAAAAAAGGAGGGAAGGAGAGAGAACATATATTCTTGGTTTAATTTCTGTTCATCTCAAAATGAGAGATTTCCATTATTGTCACACAGATAATAAAGAGCCAGGGAGTGCTACGCAAAGGACCAGTGCAGAGGACCACCCTTTTCTACCTCTTTAATGGGGAAAGGTGGCTGAGCCAGAATGTAAGTCAACCATGTTACCAAGCACGTGTTTCATTCAGCTGACCTTTTTCAGAGTAAGAATTCCTAGGTGAAGGAGCATTGACTTATATTTTGGCACATGGATTTTTATTCTTGTTCAAACTCCTTGTTGTATCATTGGTAAGAAATGGTTCAGGCCTGGCACTAGTCTAAAGATTATGCTTTGAGTGACACTAACAGACCAATGGACTGAGGTCAACAGATCTGATTCCAATAGTCCTTGCCCAAGTGAGGAAAACACTTAACATCTCTGGGATTCTATTTTTTTTAATCTGTAAAAATAAAAGGGTTTGAGTAAATCCTCGCGTTCTTTGTAAAGTTCTGTCTGTATCGCAGTCATTCCTAATTTTAAATCTCACCTGTATCACTGGCTCTGTTACTTCTCATTTCAAATATTAAAACTACATCAGGACCAAAATCTTATACTGCCAAAATGTGAGGCTTTTTTTGAACTTGCTTTCATCTTCAAAATATGAAAAGACAAATTATTAAATGTCCTTAAATATCCAAGAGAGCAAAAGATTTGTTAACTCATGGTTAACTTCAGGACTCTGGATTCCAAATTTCCTGGGAAATGTACAAAGTAGAAAAGCAGCCATCCTTCCTAGTCACTTTGAGGGCCAAATCCTACAAGGGTAGAAAATTGCAATAGCCCTAATGTCCTGAGACAGGACATTATGATATGATTCTTAGATTGCTGGATACTAGTTTCCATAAGTACAGACATTTCTTTCACAAAATGCTTACCATCTGCACAGTAACATCCATCAAGACAATGGAGATTGCTCCCGAGACACTGTTTCTCAAATGTGCAGGTTGGTGGGCAACAACTGATACAATCCCGGTGGACGAAGCTATCATCACATTTATCGGCTAAAATGGGCAAACAAGGGAGCTGTAAGTCAAATCTACTCACCTCTCTTTCAAAAACAAGTACAGTGTTTTGAAAAGTATGCAAGTTTACCAATGTTATTGTGTCAATGACAAATCTTTGCCAATCATTAGTTTTAAGTGTTAGGATAAACCTGAAATTAACAAAAATACACACAGTTTAGAAAAATAAGAAAACATACTGCATGCTAGAAAGTCATCTCTCCAGTCTTGAATAGGGTAGCCAGCATGGGAACAGGCTCTAGCATACTCAGTGGCTGCTCGGCAATAGGTTTCATCATCATCAGTTCTGGAAAGTGAAAAGAGAGAGCCATAGTCACACAGGAAATATTGGTAGAAACCAAGCCTTTGAGCTCCTGATCTCTAGAAATGCTGAGTGCATGGTGAATATTCTATTATAAATTGATGTCAGCATGCACACATCATGTACAATAATGCAGAAAATATATAAGCATGAGATCCCAACTTCAAAGGGCCTGGGCAAATCGTCTTCATCAAACTATTTCAATGATTTGGCCACTTTTCCTTTGATTCAAAAGAGTCCCTGTACTGAAAAACTTTTCTATTTTAATTATGACATTCTGCCCAGAATCTTTGTATGTATCACTTTGCTCCCACACCAAGTATCCCAGATCTTTTAGAAAATCCTATTAATAAATATAAACAAATTTATATTTATAAATTTAAGCTTTGCACAGTGGCAGTATCATAGCCAATGAGGTTTATCCGAGGCACGATTATTGCTAATTGAAAACTATATTTATAAATTTACATCTAGAAATCCCATTATAAATGGATAAAATTCTACCACAATAAAAGCATCAAATATGAAAATTATTTCCAAGATACCGTGCTCTTAATAGTCTACGTGCTGGAATAAAACTAGTACTGATAAAACAGCAGTTTCAAAAGATTGAATAAATAGCATTTAACTTTAAGATTTAAAAGATTTTTAATTCTTTTTTTTAATTTTTAATTCTTTCAAGCTTAAGTTGCTAAAGCTAGTTACTTTTGTAATATTGCCAAGAGTAAATAATCTCTCACTGTTTTCTTATAATCACCCTAGAAGCTCCCCCAAACAAATATAAGAGGTCTGCCAATTCCCAAAGCAGATTAACATAGCATCTGTAAAATAAGCAGGGTTTATAATAAGGTAGTGGACTTGTTTTTCAACCCAATTCAAACTCAAAATTGAATAGTTAAACATCTTACAAGATAATGACCTTAAGAATGTTGTATTTTGTGAACCCTAGCATTTCCAGTATCTCTGTTGTAAAAGCCACGCATCTCAAATTGCACTTCTCCTGTGCTGCTGTAATTGGAGTCATACAGCTTATCTAGTCCAATTAACTGAGCTCTAGAGGGAAAAACAGGACTATGCACATAAACTTCAGAAGCTCAGAAAATATTCTAAACCTCCAAGCAAAAAAAAATTCTCTAAAAACCAGGGTAAGCTAAAATTGTTGAATTCCTAGAAAGATAATAAGTTTCTGATTTACATTAAAAGATGTGCCTTGTTTCCTACAATTAATAGAGGCTTTGAAAGTTAACAAAGTACCTGAATATTGGTTTCCCAACCCAAGGCAACTATTATTAAAATAGCTACCATTTCTTTTTTTTTATGTGATATTAATCACCATACATTACATCATTAGTTTTTGATGTAGTGTTCCATGATTCATTGTTTGCATATAACACACGTGCTCCATTCAGTATGTGCCCTCTTTAATACCCATAACCAGGCTAACCCATCCCCCACCCCCTCCCCTCTAGAACCTTCAGTTTGTTTCTCAGAGTCCATAGTCTCTCATGGTTCATCTCCCCCTCTATATTTCCCCCTCTTCATTTTTCCCTTCCTACTCTCTTCTTTTTTTTTAAACATATAATGTATTATTTGTTTCAGAGGTACAGGTCTGTGATTCAACAGTCTTACACAATTCACAGCGCTCACCATAGCACACACCCTCCCCAATGTCTATCACCCAGTCACCCCGTCCCTCCCACCCCCCACCACTCCAGCAACCCTCAGTTTGCTTCCTGAGATTAAGAATTCCTCATATCAGTGAGGTCATATGATACATGTCTTTCTCTGATTGACTTATTTCGCTCAGCATAACACCCTCCAGTTCCATCCACGTTGTTGCAAATGGCAAGGTCTCATTCCTTTTTATGGCTGCATAATATTCCATTGTGTATATATGCCACATCTTCTTTATCCATTCATCTGTTAATGGACATCTTGGCTCTTTCCATAGTTTGGCTATTGTGGACATTTGCTGCTCTAAACATTGGGGTGCATGTACCCCTTCAGATCACTACATTTGTATCTTTGGGATAAATACCCAGTAGTGCAATTGCTGGGTCATAGGGTAGTTCTATTTTCAACTTTTTGAGGAACCTCCATACTGTTTTCCAGAGTGGCTGCACCAGCTTGCATTCCCACCAGCAGTGTAGGAGGGTTCCCCTTTCTCCACATCCTCGCCAACATCTGTCGTTTCCTGATTCTTAAGTACCTATATTAACTCTAGGATCCATGCCAGGCCCTTGACATATGGCATCACAGGAAAATTCACAACAATTGGGCAAGAAATAAATTATTATTCCAATATACTGAGGGGAAAGTGAACTTATTTGCTCCATTTGGGTATTAACTTTAATAATGAAAATGAGCATTAAATAGTAATTGTTTTTAAATCAATTGACTTTGGAATGGCAAAGTTAAAAGAATTTCCTTGCTGCTAGGTTTATCATTTTTTGTTTCAAATTTTTATTTAAATTCTAGTTAGTTAAGATACAGTGTAATATTGTTTTCAGGAGTGGAATTGGGGATATCATCACTTACATATAACACTCAGTGCTCATTCCAACAAGTGCCCTTCTTAATGCCCATCACTCATATAGCTCATTCCCTACCCACCTCCCTTCTAGAAGGAAGGGAAAAAAAAAAAAGAAAGGGAGGCAAACCATAAGAGACTATTAAGTATAGAGAACAAACTGAGGGTAGGTTTATCATTCCTAAAAGCAAAAACAGGAGGGCATAAATTCAGAGATTGGTATTATCATCCTTTCGATTCCAATTCCAATGTCATCTCCTTTGTGGAGCCATGGTAGGTGTTCCCTGATAAAGCCAACAATCCTGTCTTCCACAGCCACAGCACCTCACATTTAGAGCATGTATCATTGCTGGAGACCTGTTTCTACCCCATTAGAATGTGAGTTCCTAGGACAGGGTCCATGTCTAAACTGTTTCTGTTTCTCCAAGATGTGGCACAATGCTCAGCTCAGAATAGCTGCTAAGTAAATGTGTGTTGAATTGAATTCAAAATACTAGCATAATGCAAGTAGGAAATTAATTTGTGTTCAGCAGATTCACAATTCTATTCTCCTGATATAGGATCTTAGTGGTGCCACCCCATAATATAAGAAATGAAGAGAATCTCCTTGAGGGGAAAAGGGATATAAGTAAGCCTAGTCCTAGGTGAAATATTGGACAAGTAAGAGGCTAAGGTAGCCTCTCACTTCCATTTAATCAAGGCCCACTCACTTGATTTATAACACCCTTCCTTTGGTATTGCATGCCTGCTCTGTCCCCAAACCCAGCCTCTTCACCTCAAACATATCACTTAAGATATCGGTTCATTTCAACCAGTAAAATGTGTTTCTCTATCCTGCTATTTTTATTTGCCTTGGAGAAAGCAAGTGTATTGCAAAATCTAAAGCCTACATATATCATAATTTCAAAAGACAAAAATGTTAATTCTTCAGCGATGAAATTTCAGATGAAGTGAGTATAACAGAGGCTCTCTTTTATCTCCAGAGCCTGCTTCTTGTCAGTATTAGAACTCCCAAGTTCTTGCTGAGCTTAGGGCTGCCTAGCCAAAGACAATATTGCCCATCTGTCCTTGCATCAAGGGGGGGGGGGGGGGGGGGGGGGGGGGGTTGGTGCTGACATAGCAATAGCACCACTGTGTCATCAGAAAGCTCATGGAGCGGACACATGCTATGATCCCAGGGCCACTTACAAGCTTGGGCTTTATGTGTGAGAAATAAAAGCTTCCATTTAATTTAAGCCACTGATACTTTGGCAACTGAAGCAGCCCAACAATATCCTAACTAATAAGTGGAAAATGACTTTCCCGGATCTGCCAAATAATATTTCATCCAGTTGACCTGAGAAGTGGGAGCTAATGATGATAATACGCCAAAGGCAAGTGAAAAGACTAGTGGAGAATGGCCAAAGAATGAGTTGTGGTGGAATCAGAACAATTTCTAATTCCATATACATGGCTAAAATAAAACCATGGACCACCTGTGGGGATCCTTAAAAAAGAGACTGAGTAAAAGGGCAGAGATGTAACAATAGAGCACTTAAGTAAAAAATAAAAGCAAATAGGGAGCAGAATATTGTAAAATAGTAAGTTAGGTCAGTCCCCAATATTTTAGGCAGATGGGGAGCTCTTTCAACACTCCTGCATTAGTTCATAAAACCTTAAAATTTAGAGACTATACATATAAATATATACTCTACTCAAAATTAACAAGAATCCCAAATAAGTTTATTTTAACATCTGAAAAATATCATTATATTCACTATTTTTATAATAATCTCCATTAATTAAAGTAGGATAGTAATAAAGAAGATAATTTCATATTATCTCAACTTTCCCTCTTTGTTCTCACCTTTGATAAACTTAAACCTCTCAACAAGCTACAAGCTGTAAGATGACATGTAAGTGGTTTCACTCAAAAATGAGTCTAATCTTTTACAACAAAGTTCCCATGTGTCATTTACACTTCTTAAGTCGCTTTAAGACATGCAGATTTATTAAAATTTCTTGAGATATTCTTGAACATTCAAGGTGGTTAATCAAATACTCTTGGTAAATTTTTGAAAAAAATAGTAGAAAAGACTCCAATAATAGGTAATCTATAGTAAGTTCCGCATGGATGAACATACTCGATGGTCTCACTAAATTTGTTCCCTAGACAACCATCTAGTCTAGGTGTTCCTAACCTGGGAGAAAATGTAAGGATTGGGTGACCTTGGATGGGATGAAAATTACATGTTTATTTTCACTAATCCCCAACTGACATTTAGCATTTTCTTCAATTACTCATATAGAAAACACATCACAACGTTCTTAGCAATATCCATGACCTTGTCAACAAGATATCTCATATCTCATTTTTAATGTTTTCATTTCTTATTACAATTGTTGCAAATATCCCAAATATTGTTCACACTCATCATTATGTCTAACAATAGTAGTTATAGTTAGACTTGAAAGGCATATAAAAAAACACATATATCATAAATTCATTTCTTTTACTATTTTGATAACTATTTCAATAATCGTTTCTTTTGTAACTTTCTGTGTTTGATTTTGTGCATTTCAAAACATTATTTTGAAAGGATGTGTTGACATCTCTAAACTCCAAAAGGGATCAGTGGTACAAACCATACTTAGGAATTGCTGTGTTCTGTTCATGCTGCTTCCATAAACCATTTAGTCCGTACATATTATCCAGCAAGCTTTTTATAGCTGTTAGTACGGTTTATGTTCTCCGTTTCCATTACACTTTGTGAACTGCTGAGAGGGCTACATTACAGAAGTGGTGTTTGCTCTTCTTTTTGGATAAAGAAAATTCAATTACGAGCGCTAATTATTTCACTTACTTGCAAAGATCATTAACACAGCTGGCAATATACAAATACGGATCAATATACTCATGGCAGCTCAGAAAAGGGAACTGCAACAAAATCTGACACTTGAAGAAGATGGCCTGTGTGGAAGAGAATGGCAGTCAGCAGAACATATTTAA